GATGTCCACCTGCCTTTCTCTTACACAGATACTTGTGACTATATTTAGGGACACCCAGATAATCCACGGTAGTCTCATCTCAAAGTCTTTAACTTAACCACATCTGCCAAGACCCTTTTTCCAATACGGTAACATTTTCAGTTTCCAGGGCTTAGGGCCTGATGTCTTTGGGGGCCATTATTCAGCTGCACTGTAGTCACCTACGCAATTTCTAAACTGGGGTTTTGATATAAATGGTTACATACTCTTAATAGCAAACATAATTCCTTCTTCTCTCTGGGGACATTTAAAATGTTCCACAAAAAGTCAAATTCCATGACGTCTCTATGGCACTACATAGCTAAGAAATACTATTTCTGGATCTGTGTTGACATCATTTGATGATACTAGGTCAAATATAATTTGGCATTAAAGAGTTACCGTAAGTTATGGTTGCACAGTTACTTCCTCTTAAAGGATACTCAGGGTCAAGGACAACGTCTTCTTTCATCACTAAAATTTCTCTCCAGTGAGTATAGGTTACAGATCCTCTCATAATTCATCTCAAAATATTCCAATGTTTGCCAACTTCTGTAAAAACAGGTAATGCAATAAAAAGTGAAACCTTCATAAAATTTATTACTAGCTTATTTATTAAAAAAAAAAGAAGACAAAACCATACGTTTGGCCACGGATCCTCCAGCGTTTTTTCCCATGTGAAGCAATTTGTACCACATCATTGTCAATTAATCTTTATTTTATGAGCATTTACTGCACAGCTGTAAGCAATTCCACATCAAAGGCATTCTCCGTATTTAATAGAGGACTGATAAATGGGTCTACACATAAGAATTGCTTTGGGACTTGCTTTGTGTAGTTTTATTAAGAATGAATTTAACATTTGCATAGGACCTAACAAGGTTAGACATACAAGTGTTTAAAACACACACACACACACACACACACAGAGGAATATATAGACATAGCCTTCTCTGGAATTAAATAATGTTTAATAAAACAAAAATTAATTGCAAAGTATAACTTTGGTTTTCAAAAATCGCCCTTAAAGAGGGGGAGGGGCATGTCAAAAGGACGCAGGAACCGACCTGGAAGAGCTACCAATGGCCAAAGCTGGACCAGTGTGAACAAAAAAAATAACGTCGTATTGAATTATAACTCAAAGTAGAGAAGAAATATGCCTGAGTCCACACTGATATAAGTAAATAATTGAATGAACACACAAATGAGGGAGAAAGGACACATCTCGCAGGATACCATATTGTGTGTGTAGATACCCTCCCCTTGAGGGGGTGGGGCTTAGCTCTGCTCCCTTGAGTGTAGGCTGCACTTCAAGACTGCCTTCCAAAGAATAGAGTATGGAAAGGGAAAACTAGTCACTTTACAATAGAAAAACTTGGTAGACATTGCCGTAACCAAATGATCAAGGTTAAAGTTAAGTCCTTTATCAAGGGCTACTTGGCTAATAGAAAGCAGAGCATGGGAATGAGAAGGGGACATCTTTACAGAACTGTGATATAACAGTTTTGTTCTGTTCCTTCTCTCCTTAGCTCTAAACCAAGTTGAAGTTCAGTCTCTTCAAAAGCTTCTTTGGAGTAGCTACACATTTAGATAAGATTAATGAATGTTACATAATGCAGTGATTCTCCACTGCAGCAGTTCCCCCCCTCCACACCCATCCCCATATTTGGCAATGTACGTGGGTGTGTGGGTGGGATTGCTACTGATACTCAGTGTGTAGAGACCAGGGATGCTGCTGAATCCTACAGTGATTCCCCCAGCAAAGAATTATCTGTTATCAAATGTCAATAGTGCCAAGGTCGAGAATCCTGAACTCATATGCATACATCTAATAGACCTTGATTGGGTACCCACAATATCCCTCAAACCAGGCTACACTTTACAGATGACACAATAGGACATGGCCCATCTCCTCAGGAAGGTTACCATCATGTTGGGGAATTGGAGAACAAGTGAAACACTTCAAGTAAAGGATATGACATATATATAAAGGCCACACTGGCATACAAACCAGAACCAAAATGAATAGTCCAGATCAGTGTTCTGGGTTGTCTAGAAAGGTAAAGAGTTATCTAGAATGGCTCCACGTAAGAGATAGGATTCTCATTGGGCCTTGATTAACCCAAAGACTTTAGTGAGGAGGAAATAGGAAGATGGAAAGAACCACAATAGCTTACTTTACAAGTACCAGGGGATATTCTTGGAATAAAATAGAAAAAGTCACAAAGTCTGTTGATACACTCTTCTTTCAGATCCTAGTTACAGAACTAGAACTAGAACCCTACAGTTTTGGTTTTTTTTTCCACACAAACTGGGAAGAGGTTTCAATGTGGGGGAGGGGGTGAATCAACAGAATTCGGGTGAAGACAATGGGTTGAACAGCTCCCCAGATGATTGATTGAGATGCACACCTCCCCCATCTTGCGTTCTGAGAACCCCTGCCTTCAGAGGGTGTCACCCATCTGAGAATATATGCTGTCATAGACATGAGTAGGCTAATACTCTCTTCCTTTTGGTCGCATCATTCCTCACTGGTAACTTTACTCTTGGTTCTTCTCTTTGCCCTCTGCTCCCCATCCACACTTTTTAATATGTGATGATCCGTAACTGTAGAGTGTACGTTGTTAATGGAACATCGCTACCATCCATAGTGATGATAGCAACACCTTCAAGGCTCTTTGGAAATGGATATTGCGAACTCCGTCGGTTGAAAAGAAAACAAAGATACAGTTCTCGCCAGACTTGCTGACGAGGTGACTTAAAACATTTTAAAGCAAGGTGTCTGACCAGTAGATGGCGCCCTCCTCCCTTGTGTGAATGAGTTATTAATGAATACGCTCTCCCTTTGCCCTCCCCTCTCCCAAGCACTGTTGTGGAGAAAACCCATCGGTTCCCAAGTCCTATCCATATCTTTTAAATTCATTGTCTTTTCTTCATTCGCTGTCTAATTCAGACCCTCCCCATTTGTCTCCTTTAGAATTACAGTCATATAAACCTCTGGCCTCTGGTATCCTTCTGTCCCAACCCATCCAACACACTACCATCAGAATCACTTTCCAACAACACAGATTGTCAGTGCCCTGCTGCTTAATTGTGTCCTGAGGGAGGGAGTGAGAGAGGATTCTCTGTGAAGGCAGTGGCAAGAGCAGAAGGATCGAAGTAAGTGGAGCCCTTCTCTGGACAACAGAGTTTTTTCATTTGGCTGAAGCAGGGCCGGGGAAGGGTGATGGGGCTCTGTGGGAAAGGTAGATTCAGAGCCTCGATCCTCCCGCCAGGGAATTTTAACTTGCTCAGTTAGACCACAGAGAATCACTAAGAGGTGTTGAAGGCAGAAGGATTAGAGCTGTGCCTGAACAAGGGTCATGTGACCAGGCGTGCGGACTGACTGAAAAGGAAAAGTTCAGGAAAGAAGTCAGCTTAGCAGAGGGGAAAGGACAGAAGCATATATGTGGTAATTTGCAGTTTGCGAGATTCGGAGAAGTAGTTCCTCAACCGTAATATTCATCAGTAAAATACTTCATTATACAGAATCAATGTCAGGAAACATCTAGGAAAGCCAGGAATTTGTCCACCTACCCTGATGTCGTGTGTGCATATGCATGTGTGGCTAGCCAATACATCCCCTAGCTGCCTCTGGGAAGAGTTTTAAGTGCCAGAAGTGAAGCCACTACGCCGTGTTTTAGTGAGAAGCAGGAAAAAGAAAAACAGCTTGAGCATCCTTTGCGTATCACGGGCTTTCATGTGTTATTATTCAGCAGTACAGTGTCAGATTTAGATTTTCCACCTCGAGGAATTTGGTTTAGCTTCAATTAGTTGCTGTGAATCTTTCTGAGCCAACTCTGGGAAGCATTTATCTAGAAAATAGTTTTTTCCCTAGAATATAAGCTGGATAGAGGGTGTCATTTTTCTATCAGCCTTTGTATTATATTCACACAGTTGAAATTTCTCTCCAGCCATCTGGATGATTTTAGCCACAGCCCACCATAGTTATATTGGTTTATTACTTACAATTCTAAATACTATAAGATTGAGGCCATCAGTATCGCCATCCAAAGCCCTGTGAGGAGCTGCAGGATCTTAGAGCACGAATATTTTTTCTGAGGAAAGATGATCCTTGCAGGTTATTCTGCAGAGAGGCAACTGATGCATTTTTCATCCAGCAACTTTTCAGAAAAACAAGCTTAAAAACACCAGACAAATGAAAAACAGACTTCAGCAGTTACATGCAGCTTCCTGAGTAACTGAAGAATGTGCCTCTTGTGGTTAAAATGAGGGATCTGTTTAATATGGATGAAATACCAACACTCCAGGCATTTTCACTGACATTTCACTGTGACTTTTTGAACTTGGGAATGCTGACAGGAAAACCTATTCTTGCTGCTCTGCGAAGCCTGCAGTCAGACTGCAGAGCAGGGCCAGGAGAGGTAAAAGGCTATGCCTGGTTCATGTTCCCCCTGGTTTGTGTGTCTTTCTGTTTGGATTTCATTTTCATTCACATTGTTGGACTTTCCAGTTTTGGATTCCTGCTCTGAAACCAGTTAGGAAACCAGGCAAGGGTTTGCTCTCCTGCTCCCAAATCCCATCGCCTCTCCAGCGCTGGACTTGCTTACTGGACCAAAGTGAAAACGCTCTCGGTGGGCATTTGTAAAAACCTTCTCTAAAGGTCAAGGGGCACTTCTGTACCTTGGACCCAGAAACTACCCAGAGTGGCTGGACAGAGCACTGTGGCACCCGGGGTACATTTGAGAACAGATTCAAAGGGTAAAGGAGCCGAAGGGAGCCCCCTTTTCCGATCCTCCCCATCGCCGGCCGGCCTCGGCTCTCCGCGGCAGCCCTGCCGTCTGGCAGCAGCCGGGGAGAGACATGCTGTTTTGTTTAAATCCTCCACATTCTTTGCCATTTCCCCATTGGCCGGATGGGGCTACCCTCCCCGCCGAGGCGGCTGCTGATGTCAGCTTCGCTCGCGCTCGCTCCTCCCGCACCCACCTCCCCGGCCCGAGGCACACTGCAGCTCGGCGCCGACTCTCCGGCCCCGGCGAGGTGGCTGCAAACTCTCGGGCACGCACAGCGCTCGGGGATCCGGACTCGGGGGAGGGGACGCGCACGGAAGGCGCCAGCTTCCTCCCGCCCGCCCCTCGCAGCCGCGAGCCGAGGTCGGAGGAACCCGGAGCCCCAGCCCGGCAGAGCTGAGCGGCGGCGGCGGCTTCCCTTTTCTCCCCCAGCGAGCCCTGAAGTGCCTCGGGGACCGGCCCTAAAAAGAGCAGGAAATCTTGTTTACCGCCCAAGGAGCACAGCCGATCGAGCCTTTGTCTGGAAAGTCAGCATCTCTGGCTCCGTCAGCAATGTGTGCCTGGTGACATTAGCCTTGGGCAGACCGGCCGGAAAAGGGGGGTCGCCAGGTTCAGATCTGGTTTCAGAGGCGGATCGAGCGGGTGACTTTTGTGCATTCGTTTTAATTTTTGTAAATCTCTCTTATTTTTCCTCCCTCGCCCGCTGCCGGGCATGTCCTGATCTGGCGCCCGCTACTACTGCCCCGGGCTGCCGATCAGAGCGGTTTCCAGTGGGTCTCCCTCCCTCCCTGGCTGACTTTGCAACACCGCGTTCCAGGCGGATCGACCTCGGCGAGGAAGGAGGCGGGGGAGCCGCGAACACCAGGACCCAAGCCTTGACATGCTCTCGGGCGGAGAGGAGGAAGCCAGGACCTGAGCGCACCGCCGGGGCTAATTCGCCGCCCGGGTCCGAGCACGGGGCTCCGGGCGCTTTGCCCTGAGCCTGGGCGGCAGCCTTGTTGGTCTGGGGGAGCCCCCACTCTTCCCGCCCCGGGGGTCCGCGGCCGGCAGGACCATGCTGCTGAAGGAGTACCGGATCTGCATGCCGCTCACCGTAGCCGAGGTAAGCGCCGCGCCGGGCCCGGCCCGGCCTCGCCCACTCCCCGTCCCCGGCTCCGGGGCGCCGCGCCTCCCGGCCGGCGGGTCCACTGAGGGCGGCGGGGAAACCCTGGTGGAAAACTGCCTTCCAAACCGGGAGGCTGGAGGGGGAGGAGGAAGTGGAATTACTGCTTCCACTTGTCACCCCAGCAAGGAGGGCGGCGTTGGGTGGGGCGGTGGACTGCAGGTGGGTTTTGGGGGGGGGGCTACCAGAATCCAGATTGCTGGGGATCAGAATGCGCCAAAGGGATTTGGTCGCCCCCTCCTTCCAATTAAGAAAATGAATAAAGCAAACCCAAGAGCCCCAAGCATGCCCTGGTAGCTGGGGGGGCAATCCGACCTGGCGTGGGCCCAGGTTCCCCTCCCGCCCTTCGCTGGAAGGTTGGGGTAAGGGAGAAGCCCTTCGCCCTCGGGATTTGGAGGGCCCGGGCCCCGCCTCGGGGCACCTCGGAACCGTCGGGGGGTCCGTTTGGGCTCGGACCCCTTGCCGTCGCCGCCAAACTGGGCGCCTCTCCCGCCACGCCCGCGCTTCGAGGCCCCCGGACCTGGCTTCGACCTTTCTCTAACCGCCTGGGTCGGAAACTTTCTGCTTGTCTTGTTTCTTGGGCCGCGGGGAGAGCTCTCTGCGGGCGAGCGGGGAACGGCGGGGGCTGCGGAGCGGCCACAGGGGGGCGCTCCAGCACGTGGGTGCGGGCCCGGTCCGGGTTCCCGGGTCCCGCAGCTTCAGGGCGAGGGGAGGGTGCTTGTCCTGGGCTCGTCCTCCGCGCGCTGCTCAGGTTCCTTTCTCCCGAACCTCTCCCTCCCCACCCCCTTCCCCCACCCCAAGCCTCAAGCTCGATCTTTCAGGAAACGATGACTCAGTGAGGATTATTCAGGCCCCGGCTTTCCTTTATTCCCGCTCTGCCTCCTTATCTTTGGTGATTTCACAATTGCTTAGCGCTTGTCCAGGGACATCGTGGGAGCTTGAAGCCAATCAAGGCAATTTGAAACTTACCAGTGTGGTTTGGTGTGGCAACACACATGACACCGGCGACCCAAACCGTGTTTATGTTTAAATACAGTGCACTTAATCTGTCAGACATGTTACTGAGCCACTACTTGGGGAAGGGGCGAGGTGCTTTGGGAGAGAAAAAGGTGGGGACTTGTCTACATTTGTTGTCTGGAGCAAGTGTTAAGGAAGAGCCAAGTACAATCCAAGGCAAGATCAAAGTATAGCTCCGAGTTTACAAAATGTATTCTAGGGACGCTGGCTGCCAAAGAGATCAGCCCCCACCCCAATGATCAACCGAGCGGTGCAGTTCGTTGGCTTTGGAGGAGATAACATTTGAGCAAGTTCTTGAAGGAGGGATGCCATGTGGGTAGGCAGACCGTGTAAATCACGTGGAAAAGCAGCACACAATGCTATGTGGACGATGGGAGAGGCAAATGAATGAAACTGGTTAACCGGAGTTTTTCTAGAAAAGGTTATCGAGATCTCACCCCTGAGCAGATGAGCTGGAGTAGTTCAGCTTGGAGGTGTGTCTGCTTCCACTCCATCTCCTCCTAATGCCTTTATTTATTGAGAGGAGTTTGGGATCTAGGGGCAATGCTGGTACTGCATGAAATGCCCCCCATTGCAGGTGATAGTCAAGAAAGTAACCAGCTCTAGAATCTTCTGTACTACCTACAAAATCTCTTTATTCTGTTTTTTTCCCTTCTCAGGCTTTCTTGAACCCTCAGACACTGCTCTTTCTCCACATTTATTTTTGTACTGAGATAACTACAACTTTGGGGAGAAGTAATCATATTTGAGTGGTATCGGTGGAGACCCTTCCTTTCTTGATTGGCAAATGAAATGAGACTCGGCCTGTAATATAATGTATAATTATAACTTAATTAATATGTAATTCATTTGGACCAAAGCATGATTCAGTGTCTGTAAGGTCATATTCCGAAGTAGTTTTCTTCTTTGTTAGTGAAGCAGAGGGGCAGTTTAGATTGAGCAGGGTTTCAAAGCGGAAGGATTCAGATTAACCAAGTCAGATGATGGATGAGGACGCGAGGCCCAGCTTGCCAGAGGTTAGACCCCTAGGGTCTGACTGGTAGTGAACCCCACAATCCACCATCCACCTTAGCACTGTGTCCTCCCAACCTTAACTCTGAAAACTGGGAAGGCATTATCTTCAAAGAAGACAACTACCGTCCACTTTAGTAGACTTTTAGAAACCTCACTTTTGCTACAACTCTTGATTTGCTTTGGGCCTGATTCAGCCTACATGAAACTTCTAGGATTTGTCCCTGTTCTGACAACCACAGTTAATTAGTAGCAATGTCCATACTTTTAAAAATGAGACAAATGCCCTTGTTTTGGAGAGTCATCAAAAGGACCAACACTGTATGTCCATTCTTTTTCCCTGGTCTTATCTAGTTTAACTCTTCTTGGAGGGGAGTGTAAGGGAGACTGGTGTGTTATCCACATTTTGCAGATGAGTGAACAGAGATTCAGAAAGGTTAAGTAATGTGCGCCAGGCCACACAACTAGTTAATAGCCAAGCCAGAACCATGGTAAAACCATTAGTATTTGTTTCTCCTTACTCTGCTTGCCCGTTACTCATGTTTAATCTAGAAAATAAAAAATTCTTGAAAACAGAAAAAGTCAGCACTATCAACTAAATGAAAAATCAAAGACCTTTTGAATTGGTATAGAGTGTGCTAGTTTCTACTATTTCTCTTGCCTTATTTTAACTCATAAAATATTCCTTAGTTCCAGGAAAGAAGAACAGCTCTGGGAGATAAAGCAAGTAAAGCTGAACTACAGTCTAGATCAGTGTTGGTGTTTTGTTTTTCAGACATTCATATCAGAGTAAAGAATTATAAGTAACATCCCATGGATTTATTTTTTTTATTATTATTATTTTTTGCGGTACGCGGGCCTCTCACTGCTGTGGCCTTTCCCGTTGCGGAGCACAGGCTCCAGATGCACAGGCTCAGCGGCCACGGCTCACGGGCCCAGCCGCTCCACAGCATGTGGGATCCTCCCGGACCGGGGCACGAACCCATGTCCCCTGCATCGGCAGGCGGACTCTCAACCACTGTGCCACCAGGGAAGCCCCCATGGATTTATTTTAATTTAAAAAAACCCCACTTCATTGGAATAGTCTCCTCATTTATTTTCAATGTTGTTGTCTCTGAACTAAATATAAGCCCATTGGAAAGTTCTAAACAACAAAGGTCCCTGGGGACCAATAGTTGCCTATGAAGAGACAGTTGTCATTGTCTTCATTTGAAACATTTGGTGATATAGATTCTAGAATTTTGGACTTGGAAGGACCATTAGAGATGGTCTAGAGTTGAAGCATTTCATTTTGTGGAGGAGAAGACTAGAGCTATAGAAGGTGCAGTTAGTTGCCCATCTCATAGCCAAGGGCAAGGTCTAGGCCAGAACCCAGAGCAAAGCTCTTTTGCTGGGATTCCTTGTTGGAAGGAAATATCCCTAAGCCGAATGTGCAAAGCAGGAGACTAAATCAGTCTCTAGTTGGAAGGTTGGTTGGAGACTCTGACCTTGTCTTCTTAGGGGAATTTTAGGGGTTGTCAGCTGCCCCTAAAGGTGGCCAGGGGCCTCTCTTTGAAGCTGCTTTTGTATAACAAGTCCACTGGTTTTCCTTAGATTGTATTTTTTTGGGGGGGTAGCTTTTGGATGTGTGGCTCAATGCAGATTATGGTGGAGTTCAAGGCCCTTCCCTCGTAAGCCACTCCTTGGTGCTGCCACTGGTCCCAGCATCCTGGTCCCAAACTGCATCTTCAGGGCTCCGTGGAGCACAGTCTGATCACTCCTCCCTGGCAGGTCCTTATCGGTAAGATAAGCATCTTCCAAGAGCTGAGCACAGCCCAGTATGATCTAAGGTGGGAATCTTTTCAACTTCATTGCTTGCTTTGGTGTTTAATACTTCCTTTTCTGACTGCATCAACATTAATGTCAGGGATTTACTTGTGATCTTCAGGGATTTTCTTTTTTGCGGTACGCGGGCCTCTCACTGTTGTGGCCTCTTCTGTTGTGGAGCACAGGCTCCGGACACGCAGGCTCAGCGGCCATGGCTCACGGGCCCAGCCGCTCTGCGGCACGTGGGATCTTCCCGGACCGGGGCACGAACCCATGTCCCCTGCATCGGCAAGTGGACTCTCAACTGCTGTGCCACCAGGGAAGCCCGATCTTCAGGGATTTGACGCACGATGGAAAACAGAAACACTCCCCTCCAAGAAAAGAAGAAAGAGAGAGAAAAGAAAAAAAAAAAAACCCAACTTTTTAACAGAATATTATTTTATTCTTTGTCCTGGCAGGGAGCCAGCGCACTTTATCCAGGCTCCCCTGAGTCCCCAGAGAATTTTCTTGCGCACATTTCTGAGAACAGATTTGGGATAGGGGTGATGCCATCTCTGGAATGACATAAATGAAGATGCCAAAATGCCCAACAGTGTTCCTTTTTGCTCCGTTGTAAAGCATTTTCATGAAATGCATCTGCAAACCTATTGGGACAGAAATTCTTTAAGGAAAGAGGATTTTTTTCATATATAAATTTATTTATTTTTTGGTTGCGTTGGGTCTTTGCTGCTGCGCGCAGGCTTTCTCTAGTTGCGGCAAGCGGGGCCTACTCTTCGTTGCGGTGCGCGGGCTTTTCATTGCGGTGGCTTCTCTTGTTGCAGAGCATGGGCTCTAGGTGCGTGGGCTTCAGTAGTTGTGACGTGTGGGCTCAGTAGTTGTGGCTCACGGGCTCTAGAGTGCAGGCTCAGTAGTTGTGATGCACAGGCTAGTTGCTCTGAGGCATGTGGGATATTCCCGGACTAGGGCTCCAACCTGTGTGTCCCCTGCATTGGCAGGCGGATTCTTAACCACTGTACCACCAGGGAAGGCCAGGAAAGAGGTTTTAAATTTGATATTTTCATCAACACTTTGTTTTCTGTACAAAGTGATATCCTTGAATGTAAAGG